AAGCTTATATATATATATATATATATTACATCACTTTTATGTCCAATTACAAAAGTCAAGACATTGAATTGATTGAGCAAACACACACACACAAACCACATCAGCCAAACAATACCCACCGGATTGCCAATAAATAAATAAATAAATTGGGGTGTACACAGGAATATATTAATCTTTAAAAAAAATCAAAATTTGGTTGAGGAAACCTAGATGGATTGAATTAAAATCTGAAGAAACTAATCAGGAAAAAAAAATGAATTTTCTAATTTCATGTCGGGAGCATTGTATTTAATGAAATTTAATTTAGTGTTGAAAGGGAGAAACTCTTAATCCACCTTGACATACCCTTGACAAAGAGAAATATTGGAAGATCAATGAATAATATAAAAAGAAAAAGAAAAGGTGAAGAGTGTAAGCATACCAGCACAGGTCTTCTCCTTCATGAGCTTATAGATGAGGACGGAAATTCCGAGGGAGTGGACAGCCTCGGCGGCGACGAAGAGGTTGTCGTGATCGTGAACGATGAAGCGGAGGAGCACGAGAGCCGCCATGCCGGAAACGACGGCGAGAAAAGCCTTGACCTTTGGGGGTTGTCGCCTGACCCATGTGGTGAGGTGGTGGATCGAAGCTCTCTGAGGCCTCATTGATAGAACTTTTCGACACCCCAAACCAATGCTCCAACACACGCACACACGCTACTCGGTTAAACTCAAAGCAACGTTGGATTGGAACTTCAGCGAGAGAGAGAGAGAGAGATTGACGAACTCCAAAACGGAAACACAATGTGATTGTTTTTTATTTTTGTTTTCTCTCTCCAAACTCAAACAGATTCATCGAAGGATAGTACTATTTTATCTTATGACAAACAACGCCCTAAACGCTAAGCTTATTATTTTAGAAACACATTTTAAAACATCTATTATATATAAATAAATAAACAGTTTGTTAGTGTTTCTTTACTCCATTTTTTTAAAAAAATATCTATTATATTTTTTTATTTTATCATGAATATATCCTACATTATAAATACGACTCATTATCCATGAATATGAGTATTTTTTTAGTAACTATTCTTAAGACAAAATATTCTCATTGAGTTGCATTTTTTTTATGATTTTATGTATCGAGTATTTTATTCTATTTAAATTTTATTTTTCAATACATTTCTTAAATTTAATTTCATATACTGTACAAAAAAAATTGATTTCAAATTCAATTAGATTGATTAGTTATTTCGAATAAAGTCTTTCTAAATCATATTAAATCACTATCTTTATCTGAATTTTTTCTAATTTACTTATTTCTTTCAATTTGTTATAAAGCAAAAGAAAATATTAAAAGCATGTTTAAGAAAGATTAATTTTTCTACTTTCAACTATTTTTTCAAAGGAAAATGTTTGGAACAAAAGATTGAAGTCTCAACCAGAAATCAAGATCGAAGATAAATTGTCTACTTTCCATAGTTAGGGAAATGAATCAAATGATCATTAATCCGAAACAGTTTTCGTAAAAAAGAGTTTTCCCCGCCTTTGAATTTTATTTTTTTTTATTTGAAAAATCGATGTGCTGTAGTTGATAACACTTTACTCATGAATAGATTCGTAGATAAAGCTGTGCTCTTATACTTATATTGATTGGTCCCCACAGCCACCAGAAAACTTCAGCAGTATGTAGTCTATTCTACTTAACATAAAAGGATGATGCAGAATTGATAAGCATTAGATGGCAGAATGAATGATATAACTGTATCTCACACAATTTGTGTGTGATTTTGTGTCTTAATAATCGCAATCTAAATTGTTGAAACAAGGCATTTGGCGCTCGAAATCTAGTTGTACATATCATCCACTAAGAAGTAAGAAATTCATGCAATTCCTAAAAACAATATTGTGTTTCTCTAAGAACTTCAGCTCTAGAACAAAGGAATTAGCGATGCCTGGCATAATGCACCTTGCCCTTCTTCCTTTTATGGATTACTTACAATGAATTTGATCTTCTGAGCACAGGCTTTTGGTGTTTGTCATCCTCTATTGCCACCATACCCAAATGTGAAGGATCCTCCAACATCATCTTAGCCACCAAGTAACCAGCAATGGACCAAGTTTGGGATTTACGTGCCTGCTTCCCAATGTAACGACCAAGCTTTCCATCATAATATTCGGGCCAGTTGTCCTTCACCAATCTAGTTTCAGCAATTTCAAGGGCACGTTTTGCAATGTGGGGTCGTCCGGTCTTGATAGAGGCAGCAGCAAGAAGCCATAAAAGAACTGCAACCACCACAGTATCCAAAATGTATCTAAGAATTCTTTCAGCAAGTTGTATGCCAACTTGTCTCAGGACCTCATAGGATAGTTTTAAAGACTCTTTTTAAGTTTCTCAATTCAGCACCTAATTAAATAACATGTTGTGCAGCTTATAGTAGCATTCACTGTTCTAATCTATATAGTAGAATCATTAATCTTTTCTTTTCAAATAAAAGTCTAGTGTTGATTAGTACATGCAGAAGAATAATGAATACCTGGCCAAGATCCTCCATTGTGGTAGCTCCATCTAGTGTTTTTGGGGTCACAACCTGTTATGATCTGCCACTCATGTTTTTCAAGGGCAGGATAACAAACTTTTAGAGGCATCTCCCCAATTAATGCCAGCCAGCGAGATTCAATGAGATCCATGATTGCAATGGATTGCTCAGGAGTAGCCAAGCTGGACAAAATTGCTATGCAATTACCAAGGCAAAACCAACGGAAATCCATCCTAGCAGGACTCACATTCCCAACAAAGTAACCACCATTAAGAGGCATGAAATCAAATATCCAATCTGGTAGAGAATCAGGAATGACATTAAACTTGTTCACTGCTGTATGTGAGTACTCTTCTGTTTTGAAGCGATACACATCGTTAAGTTGCTTCGAGTCCAACCAAAAATAGCTTCTCAGATGATAGCTTAAGGCATGCAAGCGTCTGGCAATTCGTTCCATGAACTCTTTTCCCTCGGTGTCTTGCTTCAGCAATTGCAAGGCACACCTTAAAGCCATGAAGAAAAGTGCTTGAATCTCAATTGGATAACCATAAACACCCTGAATCATACGTCAAAACAATGAAAGTAAGAAACATTGAAACCGTGGATGTATTTTTATTGATGGAGGCACAAAATAATTGGAATGAACTCTTCACAATATTAATCTACAGAATTGGAGAAACCTAGAACTAGAACAATCATCCTTTCTTGCAGGTAATGTCTTATTTTAGTCTCAGGCAATATAAAATATGATGGTGCAGTTCTCATAGATTTCAACAAACTCACCATTCTGCGATCAATCATACAGCATCCATCAGCACATAGTAGAGTTGGAAATGTGTCAAATCCCTCTGAAAGGCATAAATTCAAAATCAAATGCATGCCCTTCTGACATTCAGGAAGTTCAGCCAAGGAAGTGTCTCCTGTAGACTTTGTGTAAGCACGAAGTAATATAATCCACCAAAATCCAGAATCAATAGGAGCAACCCTGCCTATTGCACTTTCACCAAAGTCTGCTATCAGGGTCTCACGGTTTCTGACTGGATCATGGAATACTTTAAAACTTGCTGGCATCACTCCTTCTGCTAGGTGGAATCTATCAATCTTTTTCTCCCATGATTGAAGGCGAAGGGTCTTTAAGATAAAATTTCTTACTATGTCAGGTTCCCCGTTCATCAGAAAAGCCAAAGCACTAGGAACAAAGTCTCTTACAAACACCTACACACAAATATAACATCATGGGTTAATTCTCCATAGCATCTCAAAAGGGGTAGAAATGGCATAATATATGTATATATATATATATATATATATATATATATAATGA